TACACACGGCTTGATGTCCAGATAGCGGAGCAGTGTATGCGTTTTATATGAAGTATGCCACTCCGGCATGAAGGCAATGGTTGTTCAGATTATTAGATGCACAGTACATGTATATCTGGATACACGCTCCTGGTATAGTTATGGAGGGATAGGAGGTGAAAAGGTAAAGGCTCCATATAGTATAAAAGAAATGTGGACATACAACAATATCGACTCTCCGCCGTTCATGACGAACGCCAGAAGAATCTGGGGTACGGAATTGGGTTGGATCGCTAGTCGTGGAGTAGATGTATGTAGCCGTTGGCGCACCGATTTCATTCGTTTCCTTGACAGTTATCACATCATTGATGGGTGCCATTGTATTTTCTTTGATTGGCTTAACCTGAGAGGCATTGGATTTTTGCTAGGAGTAGGGGCAAATTGTTGGGGTAGATGTTGAGGTTCCGGATTCGAGGTTGGGGGTGATTGCCTTGATTACGCATTGTGATTTGCTGAAGCTTGTGCTTCCAAGCTTGCTAGGGCTGCAGAACTGGTAAGTTCTGGTGATGTCGATTGGTTGTGGGGAGAGCGTAGCCTCTGCTTTTCTTTTTCCTTTCCGATATTTTCTTGCTCTTTCTTTCCATTTGTTTTGACTCATCTACGAAGTAAGCTGCTAAGCTGCTTGGTATGCCTCCAGGGAATGAATATTCCAATTAGTAGTAGGTTTAAGTAGTAATATTTGTTGAGCAGACAGTACCGTACACCCTATCTGACAAAGAATGTAATTGCAGGAAGAGAGCCTGGCCTACCAAAACAGTATTCATAACAGAATTGGTCGCAATCACCCGCTTGGAAAAATGGCGATATTTCACGACAAACAAACCAGCAACGCCTATGGGTAAATGATGAGATAGCAGTAGTAACAAAAACTGATTTGATATTGTCCCTTCCTCCCCAGAACACATGATACCGTGACAAAACCAATTTGTAATATCCACACCATAGAAAATTGGTGATACAGCAGCGGCAATTCGATGAGGATGAATTGTGAGCTGGAAAAATAGAGGGTATCGAGGACGGCGACATTGTCGGCTGCCCAATGCTAAGGAGCCAGCCTGGTGGGGTTATCTTCGAGACCTTCTAAGCGCTCTTCCCTGGAGCGCCAGAGGAACTACGAGTGTCCCACATGCATTCATATATAGGAAAGATAGCATATCATCACTTGTAGCCCCATATATTCATGCAAACAGGCTGGCGCCGCCGGTCTCGACAGCATCAATTTCTTCTTGTGACCAGGTCAGGCGTCTGAATCTTTCAGGAAGCTCATTTCGATCGAAGTATTCGCCCTTCTTCGGCTCCACGGACCCGAGCGATGCACCAGGCTGGCCTCCAATGGCCCCGCCGTAGATTCCGTTCGTTTGCGCCGAGTAGTTCAGCGGGCCATGCTGCTGGGCCTTGGCTCTGTAGGTGGCGAATGATTCGGGCAGTTCAGAGGAAGGGGAGGCAGGATGGGCCCGGGGAGAGCGGTCAACGGATTCTGGCGAAAGCATTTTGGGTTAGTTTCAAGGTTGATGTCGGAAGAAGCGGGTTTCCCTCCTTTGGCGGTTGCATACTGGGAACAGTGCGCTTTCCAATGAACTTAATCAGTGGAGCTCTGGCAGCGGCGGCTTGCTGCAAAAGAGATGAAGCACGCATGGTATTTTGCTGAAGTTGTGGGGGAAGACGTCGCGGCTTGAAGGTTGTTCTAGTCGGGGCGCAGAGCCAGTGGCAGATACGTGTAGGAGATGGATAAGAATAATATGCTCGTGGACCTCTCTCTCGATCTCTGTTTGGTGTGCCAGGTGGTGAGTCGATGGTCTGCGAGGCAGAGAGGAGAGAAGGAGTTGAAGAGTAAGAGGCGGAGGAAGAGGTGATGCAGATGCTGGCGTGATTCACCTTTAGTTGACTACTAGGGTTATGAATAAGCAGGACTCGGGGCGAGATAAGGGTGCAGCAGTAGCGCGCTGTCAATTATCGTCGGCAAACTTTGAAGATGCGCATCATTTAATGCAGAGTTAGTGTCAGTAGGAATCTGCACTATTTAATTTTTCCCCAGTCCTCTCTCTCGAGAACCCGGCAACTTCAGGGATTTTTCACACCGCCGGGGTGGCTCACCAACCACTGGCAACCAAGTTTCAACGCCGCACATTCCGAGTCGACTTACTGCCCCACCATTCGCTTACCATCGCTTTCCACCAATTTCTTCGGTATCTTCGAAGATGGCCTCTCCGATAATATTAAATCCATATCTCCACGGCACTGACTCTATCAAGTGGTGTCGGGATGAAAATGGACTGACAGTCGCCTTGTCACTAAATACAAGGAAGGCCATTCTGCTCTCTTTCTCTCACCATTCCGTTGGATGCTCGACTCTATCCGCCTTCGCTGACTCTAGTGATTCCATAGTCTGACGCTGTGAGTGCTGAAAAGTTAATATTCCGCGATCGACGGCCATCTTCACAAGGGGTAGGGAGTTCCATGAATGGAAAAGGAGAAAGAGTGAGCGCCTTGAGTCCGAGCTCGATGAGCACAACACCAATCACGCCGAGGGCTACATGGATTCTCCACAAGAATAGCTCCAGCCTGCACGCCGATATAGCTGTTAGCACGCCCGTTGATGCCTTCTAAGATGCCAGCATGCCACAAAGCTGCTTTTTCTCCGCCTTTATCCTTCATATGGCTTCCCATTGCGTCTCCAGGAATGCCGAGGTTGAAGTCATACTTGCTCCGAACTGAAATACCAGAGTACACTGCTAACCGCGCTACGACAGCTACTATTGAGAGTAGACCCTAAATCCTTTGTTTCACTCTTTGAACGAGCTTGTAGTCTTTTTCTAGACTTCCTTCTATCAGCATTGTAGAGTACAACTTGATCTCGCTTTAGAGAGGTAGATTGGCAGATAGAGATCATACAGACAGTCCCGTTCATGTTAAAGCAATCCTTCTCTATCCGGACATCCAATGTAAAAGGAGCTTTGCCAGTCCGCTTCAAACTTGCGTCTTCATATCTATCACGTGTTCCTGATCCCGCTGCCCAGGTGGGCTTGGCTGAATATCCACCAAAAGCACGGACAACATCCTCCTGCGAATAATTCCATACACACATAAACTCAAATTTTCAATTGAGCAAGCTAGTTAACTCTGGCTGGAGCTAGTTACATTAGTTATCTCTGTTGTCCCTCCGTCTCATCTACCCATCACCCACCTTATCTTCCTATTAATTATCTAGCTCCAGTCGCGTCGGCCAGAGGAAGGACAACTCCTTTTCCCGAACGAAAGCTTAAACGCCCCATTCCACCTTTGGGACATGACAAGTGACACTTCCAAATGATAATCACAATATTAAGCAACGGTAATAATAATAGAGAATAATAAACCGTCTGGAAATCCTTTGGAAGCCCACGTCGATATCACATGCATGAACTACTGCTCTTCGCTCCGGTTCCAGCGAACCAACACCATGATTTGCTGCTGCAGCTCTCTGGTCTAGCTGCAATGCAGCCAACTCGCGTTTTTGAGAGACATCTAGTTTTCAAAGCATACAGAAAACCTGGTTTCGTTAAAACAAGGCCGGGTGGCAGCCAGGATGTACAGGCTCCCGAAACCCAGAGGCTGAATAAGCTCCTGAATGGAGGCCTATACTATATGCAGGTCGTGGGAAATGTCCGAGAACGAGACTTTGGCTCTGTGACAGCTTCTACTTCTTCGCCATCAGATGCTCTTGCCCGAGGTTCGGATGAGGGCGGTGAGGGCACTCAGCATGGTCAGGAAGCATTGCCGCCGACGACGACAAGGAATGGAGCTGCTGCCGCCGCCGCTGCCGCGAAAGGGGGCTATATAGCGGCGGATCAGTCATGGAGATTGGAGTTCAAGGATACCCCGGAGGCTGGGGCTAGATTCGGTGTCACGACACGGTTTGTGGAGAATTCGAACCTCCCTTCTGGGAATATCCTTCCTGAGATGAATGCTTGGGGATTTAAGTTAGTTTCCCCCCTCGCTTCTCCCCTGGTATTAAAATCTATATCTCGACTAGGCTAAGCTCTAACTTCGCTTTAGCTACGTCTCTGAATACGTTGTCGAAGGCCATAGATTTATCCTAGACGACATAGTATTATTTCTGCATCGTGTGCTAGTTTTCCCATCAGGTCATGAAAGTGGCGGTGGTGGCACGACAACGCTGGCGCCAACTGAATATCTTCCTCCATTAGATCAAATGCTGCTGCTGGACACGAGCGGTGCATATATTTTACAGGCCTCTATTACAGTTCAGGACAGCGGGAATCCAGACATGTTGAAGGCGAATTCTCAACGACTTTTGGGGTTGAAAGAGCATTTGAAATCTGTTGTGAAGCTGGAGCCTAAAGATAGGCTTTCCCTTGATACGAGGGTGAAGTGAAATACCATACCAACATTTGCTCGAATGAGGTCAGGATTTGGTATTTTGGGGCTTCTAAATGGTTGTTGACATGGTTTGGCAATGAAGCCCTCTTTTGAGGGCAACCGAAATGTATATTGCTTCAGATTTAGCGTTAACGCCAGTTGATACCAATTTTTAGTCATCAGCTATCGAATCCCATAAAATGAAGAGTGCCTATGGACTGTGTATCTTCCGTCTCTTCCTAAATGTAGGCAGCCAGCGGGAGCCTGCCCGGGGGTGGAATCAATTTAAACCACGTGACATGGCGTTTGGACGTTGGAGCCTCCACGTCTTCGCGACTTCAAATTGTCGATGGCACTCTGGCGAGCCTATTTATGGCTCCCCTGTCCCTCTTCAGGTACCTCCGAATGGTTCGATTTTCCCTCTTCCATACCAAAGACCAACTCAATACCTACACTCTTTTCAATTCGACTGTCCGACTTATCATGAATGGCACCAAGCGAAAGAGCCCCGATGGCGGAGACATCTCTCCACCTCCGCTCAAACGCAAAGCAATAGGAACAGCGACCAGTGAGCATATTTTCGTCTTAAAGCGTTCAATTGCAGACATTGATGCAAAGTACTAGTAATTGACAACTCCTGTATGTATAGATAAAACTGTAGCCAATTTCTTCACCCCAGTATCACAAAAGAAACCGGAGCAAGTCACATGGAGGACTGTGAACAATAGTTGCATTATCGGAAAATACCACCAAGAGCAAGCTCTGGAGGCGGTTAAATCTGGCAAGAAACGACGTATTGCCGCCTTCGATCTCGTATGTTTGAAAATTTTACCGGTTAGCAGAGGCCAGAGCTAGAACATTCTAATCAGGATATAGGATTCGACTCTGGTCGCAACTAAATCCGGCAGACGATTTCCAACAAACGAGCGTGATTGGAAATGGTGGAGTCCAAGTGTACCCGACAAGCTGAAGCAGCTGAACGATGAAGGGTTCGTGAGACTACCTTTGAAGTTACATTTCGCCTTCTAATTGCTTCCACTCACTCAGTTTCTTACGTGTGATTAGGTATCTGGTTGTTGTTTTATCGAATCAGAAAGCCATAAGCTTGAAAAAGGATTTGAAAGGCGGCAGAGTAGAGTCAAAGAGCTTGTCTATATTTAAGCAAAAGGTTGCGGCGATTATGCAGACTTTGGATATGCCATTTAGCGTTTACGCTGCCACAGCGAGCGACGAATTTAGAAAGCCTCGTATGGGGATGTGGAGGGAGATGCTCGATGACCATGACCTAAGTGTTGCCGGTTTATTACATCTTGAACAATCTATATTTGTTGGAGATGCAGCAGGACGCGAGGGTGACCATTCCTGTGTGGATCGGTGCGCAGCATCCCTTACTTGCTCCTCACATGCTTATTACATGCTCCTTATATACTGATATTCGTACATGTGCATACAGAGATTTCGCAGCGAATGTCGGAGTTCCGTTTGAGACACCTGAAGAATTTTTCCTCGATGAGGCTCCAAAGCCTATTTTGAGAACGTTCGACCCAAAAGCATACATTGTTGACTCATCGGCAGACGAACGTAAGCAGAACATCTCTCTATCTGCCGCCTACTTAGCTCATGGCGCCCTGCGAATCATATAGAAAATCAAGAGGGCCATATTCTGAAACTGGTATTATAGCAACTATCACTTTCTCAAAAAAGAGCGATGTCGAACTTGTCATATTTTGCGGGAGCCCGGGATCGGGAAAGTCCACCTTCTACTGGAGATATCTAGAGCCCCTTGGTTATGAGAGAGTGAATCAGGACATATTGAAGAGTGTAAGCCTACGCGCACACCGCCCACACATTGTGTGAAGGGCTATCGAACATCTCTTTTTTGTATGAGATATGCTAACAAGTATCCATTCCGCGCCTAAAGCGTCCTAAATGCCTCAAAGCTGCAAAAGAATATTTACAAGCTGGAAAGTCTGTGGCAGTCGGTATGTTTCACTTCCCCCTTCTCTTTCTCTCTCTTATATATATATTCGTTTTTCGAAGCATTTCAGAGTGCCACTCATTCGTTTTGCCCCTTTTTCAGACAATACCAATGCGGGCCCAGAAACTCGAGCGTACTGGATCGATCTCGCAAAGGAAACTAACGTTCCCATCCGATGCATATACCTGTCCACCCCACCACAGATCTGCAAACACAACGATGCAGTTCGTGCAGCAAATCCAATGATTGTATGCAACCCAGAAAACCCTCTATCTAACCCAATTCATAGTCGCCATCTAATCTCTTGCCCGATGTACAGGAATCGATAAATCCCGAGTCGCGCTCCTCCCTACCTGGAATAGCGTTCGGTGATTTCCAGCGCCGATTCCAAGTACCGGTGCTCTCCGAAGGATTTCAGGATATCACGCATGTCGAATTCAAATTCCAAGGAACACCTGCTACGAAGGAGGTTTGGGGCCAGTATTGGGTCTAACCCTGTCAATCAAAGCTTGATTTTCTTCCCAACTACCGAGTCAGCAACCAGCAAACAAATTCTCTCCACATGCGTACCCGCCCCGCCTAGCTAAATGAGATATTAGTTATTTTTTATAAACATTGTTTTCCTACATTGAATAAATAGAGTGGTGGCTACTTTTTGCACTAAATACCGTGTGTCCACATTTGTTTGTCCAGGTATATGTAGAATGACATGGGTTATAGAGGAGTTATGTACCTAGGTATGGCTATGCTTAACCTTTTTGACTTGGTCAGGTCAAAACATTTCAAAATTTCCGGACTCTGTTCTTGGGTGAATTCATTCAACCTCAAAGTAGGGGTTGAGCACCTTAGATTGCATACGCTGTAAAGTAGGGTAAACAGCTAGCTGCCGTTTTTAGCCTGGACGAAGTAACTAGCAACCCAACCCCAGTCTTCGGCGGTTTCTTGTTTATTTTTATCACCTCCAGGCTCAAGTGTTCCACATCGCCAAGTGACCCTTACTGACACCCACCCGGCGCCATCTTTTTTAGTATCGCAATATCAAACACCCAGCCGAAATTTAGGGTGGGGGATAATGGGGCCGCTATTACTGTGTATAACTGGAGGCAATCCTCAAAAGAGTGAAATATATCTTCTGAAATGAGTAGCCTACCTTTCATCTTATCTGCGGGTTTCCATTCCACCTTCCCATGCCCCATTCTTACCAGCCCCTTCAGGGCAAGACGAGTCGGGAAGCAGTCAATGCTACGGCCGAAGAGCCTGATACATCCAGTGAAGATATCTTAGCCAATGCTACCTTCAACGATCGACGGAGGCGGAATTGGTACTACAGGCTCGTCCTCGATTGGTGGCTCTGGGAAATCGGGGCCTGTGCTTTAAGCCTGCTGGCTCTTGCGACGACGATAGCCGTGCTCGTTGTCTATTCAGAGAAAAATGTGCCCGAATTGCCCGAATATATTACAGTAAGTATACTACTCAAACACTGAATACTCGCTCGTTAAAATGCTAATGTGCATAAAAGCTCAACGCTATCATTTCCGTTCTCACAAATGCCATAAAGATGCCGGTTTTGGGAGTTATTGCAGCTTGCATAAGTCAGCTAAAATGGCTATGGTTGAAAGATATGAGACGCGTGGAAGACTTGCAAATTTTCGATGATGCCAGCCGAGGGCCCCTAGGGTCTCTGAATATGCTCTCTCACCTTCGCGGATGGTCAGTAATTATTTGAAGCACAGTTTTTCGGCAGCAAGCTGGATATGGAAATGGCTAACAGTTCACTCCTAGCCATCTTGCCTCCCTCGGAGAGGTAGTCACTATTTTAACTGTGGCTCTAGAGCCCTTTATGCAGCAGCTGGTTATATACCCAGTCAGACTTGTGTACAGAGAGTCAGGCAAAGCATCGACTCTGCGTGCCGACAATGTGAGCTACGCAGCACAGGGTAGGTCATTGGTTTGTGGGGATGCTCCTCTTCGAATTTGATTCTGATGATAATTTATGCTTAAAGGGTAAAATGGCCGTAGAATGGACGCTGTTTTGGACAAGGGTATTATGAATGCTATATACAACGGAGATTCGGCTCCAAGCCTTAAACCATTTTGTTCCACTAGAAACTACACCCAGCTTTTTCCCAGCCAGCACCCCACATATTGATGGGAATTTTGCGGGCGTTAATAATCCTCTCTTCGCCTTAGGCTGGCTGGAAATCGACTACTCTTCTCTCACAAACACAACGCCGATTTCTAGAGCTATGGAATGCATGTTCACCTACTGTCTTCAGCGTTACAACGTCTCCGTCGAGTCCGGCGTTTCTACCATAAAGACGGACCCTGTCCATCTAGCGTCGATGAATCAACTTTCCGGGTGGAACGTTACGGCACCTCTGCTACCAGATAAGGACAAGGAGGGGACTACCACCTTCGTCGTGGATGATATCGCTGGCCACTCTTTATGGAAGAGGCTTATCCTCAATCTCGTTGGAAACGCAACGACCTGGGTCCAGTCGACGGAATACTTCATTCCATCCAATACATTTATCGGAACCTCACGCACCGTCGATGACAAGGTGCATATGATGGAGAGTATCGCCTAATCAGTCACATATCCCATGCTCGAACCCAGCAACCAAACGATGACAGGCCTCGTTGGACTTTCACAACAATTCATGCATGTGCGATGGGGTTGGATTGCGCTACCTACTTTCGTCGTGCTCGCGACTATACTCTGTCTTTGCTTGGTCATGATGTGCATGTGGAAGTCCTCTTCTCTGGCGTTGTTGTACCATGGATTTGAAAAACCTGTTGAGGATGATCAGCGTCGTTTCGCCCGTTTGAGTGACATGACGCACAATGCGGCAAATTCCAGGGCGAGATTGGCTCCGTCTGGAAACTATACCTGGGAGTTACAGGTTAACGACGGATGTGTGGTGGATAAAGTAAGATAATGGGCTCAAGCTTGCTCTTCGACTGGACACATGGACTTTGTTGTGAGCGTTTGCAGGCAATAACACCTCACAAGGGTTCTCCAACGCATCAAAGAGGCAGTAGGGTGTGGGGCGTGGCCAAACGGTTCATCGTCTGCCTCAAAGTCCATGAGCTTACTTCTACAACCCGCCCCCAATCCCTCCCAGGCTACCGTCAATGTATGAAATTCCACTGCCCAAGAAATTTGTGCCGGACTCGACCTTCTCTAGTGAATACGCACGAGGCTTAATTGGGTCCATCAACCACGGCCTGAGAAACAAAAACGAACCATGAAGTCTTAGTTACTACCTATTACCATCATCTGAGGGCACCCTCTCCAACAGACTCATCTAACCAACGATTATCCTTTCTACACATGACGGATTGCTACAGGCGTTCCATTACCAGAGCAGAGGCCTTCATGGGGTGGAACTTGTATAATGGAATATCGAGGATATAATCAAGGGGGGTGGTATTTGATTTTCGACGCCGAAAAATCTAAAAGATCATATAGCATATAACAGCAACTACCAACACCAACAAACAACTGAGAAACTTCCCAACGCTAAAAGAGAAACGATTCCTAACCCGAGATATCGCAAAATGCAGCGATAGCGTGTGGAAACACTTATCATGTACTTTACAAAACGGCCATACAACCCCCCCATAAATCCATCATGCTGCACTCTGCAAACCATTGCCCAAGTCCTCCTGAAGCAGCTGTCCGAGGAGCAGTCGAGCTTCGAACACTCCTCAGTCCCATCGCCAGCAATAAACGAACCCAACAAATAAAGTAACGAAAGAATGGATAAAGCAAAACGCACCAATTTTCAACGGGAACTGGCAGAGAACCATACAGTTATAGTCAGTAGTATATACATATACATATATATATATCTCTCTTCCAACCCCCAACCCCCAACCCTCCTGCCATATATTTCTCTAGCTTAGAAGACGCCTTTAGACATACAATTTTGTATTCATACTCGAAAAGAGAAGAGAAGGAAAGGAGCCCATTCGATGGGACATTGTTGGGCTTTCAGGGTCGGGACCTCTCCACCCTTCAAGGGCTCCATGTGAGATAACAACTGCAACAATAAAAATAATCCTTAAAGCTCAGAAATAATAATAATAATAATAATGGTAATAATGGTAATAGTAATGAATAATGCTGTATTAATTGAGCCACTATTTCTATTTTCTATATTTGTTGAATAAATTAGGAACCAGCTAGCGATTATTGATTGATATAGATAGAGACGATGAAAAATTAAAGTTCCAGCACAAAAGCATTTGAGAAAAAAAAAAAAAAAAAAAAAAAGAGTTGGGAGACGGGGCCAGAGAGGTACTCCTGTATGTATGTATGTATATATGTATGTATGTATGTATGAGGCACCCTGGCCCCCGAACGGGGAGGTATGAATGGTTAGACAGATGGATAGGTAAATGGAAAGATAGAACCCGAGGCCCCGGTCAACGATCATCCACACACCCATTTTTCATGATTGCGGGCGTTAGCAGCTGATATACGTACTGTACATGGTCGCCAGGAGGGGGAAAAAATTACGATTACAATTGCAACTGCAATTGCCACTGCAACTGCAACTGCAAGTATAAGTATATAAGTATATAAGAATATAGTTAAGTAGTTAGTTAGTTATATGAAGCTGTTCGTTTGTAATCTAGCTTTCAGTAACTAACATTCATCATCATTCCCGGCTTTTTTCCGTTCCCCGACCCCTCCCCCTTTTTCTCCTTTCCCCATTTTATTTTCCCCCCCCCCCCCCCCCCCACCCGAAAGTAAATTTCAAGGGATTGGATCAATTTTTGTTTTAAAAAAAAAAAAAAAAAAAACCAGGGGGATTGAAAGGGGAGGCGAGGAAACCCCCCCCATAAAAGGGCTTTTTTTTTTTAAGTACCGTTTTCAAAAAAAAATAAAAAAAAGGGCTCTTTATTCGCTCGGGTTTAGGGAGAGCGGGGGGATCTTCTGGGAATTATGGAGAAGCCAAAGCCGGACTTATTATATAAAAACGGATCCCGGAAGCGGGTGATATAGATTAGAATATTCGGTTATAGGGTATAGAAAGTGTTCTAGGGACAATAACGAGGTAGGCATGTTTTTATCTGTCTGGCTGTGTGTGCGAGTGTGTGTGCATATGACAAAAAAGGAGCGTGGGGTGGGTATCTCTAATAAAGCAGTAACAATTCTATAAAGGAGCGTCATTCGTCGTCCCGGCATGATCGGTCGTTGTATGGGAGTAATATAATAATTGTTAGCGAAATGGCAGGAGAAAAAGGGAAACAAGGGAAGCATCGGTGAAATTCCTCCAAAAATTGCCAAGGATTGCAGTGGTGCACGAAGCCACTGATCATGGCAAGCGAGAAGTCAAGGAAAGGACCGAAAAGAAATAGGATATGTCGGATAAAATTAGATTGTACATGTACATCGAAGGGGAAAGAGGGGCGCAATTTGATTCAACAAATGCACAGACAACGAAAACGGGTCCCTTATGTGAATGAGGAAATAAATAATGGTAATTGTAGCAATAGTAACAAAAACAAACGGGGAAACGGCAATGATGCTACAAAGGATCAACAGCAGCCTCATCGATGCCTGTCAGGCTTTTATGCTCGGGGAGAACAAGTCTTGTAAGAACTTAAAGAGCGTTCGCTTCCGTAACGATTTGCCCGAGGGATATGAAGACTGTTGCAGAACTGGCGCCACGGACATTGGACCAACAATATCCTCATCGCCACGGTCGGGGAATTTGCTCTTGTCGTCCAGGTGGGGGATTTTGATGGCTTCGACGGGGTGGATGTCCGGCTTGTGTAGCAAGCTGACGGGATTGCCTTTGCCGTCCTCCAGACTCGTGACGAGTTGGTTGTGATTCTCTCGCCACCGAGCCTCCACCGAATCCCATTTCTCCTCTGTGAGCCGGTAGATGTTGGACGTTGCGCCGTAATGCTCTGAAATGCGAGTGAGGTGTTTCGCATAGTTGTAGCGGGCAAGTTCCCAGTTGTTCCAGTGCTCGTCAAAGGCCTCGAGCGTTCGAGCAGCGGGGAGGTAGGGTTCAGGTCGGATGGTGAAATTCGCATGGCCCAGCTTGTCGGACCACTCATCGTCCGTATCCGGCATTGCAACCGGGGAGAGGTATGGGGCAGGACATTTGGCTCCCTCCAGTTGGCCATTCATGGATGATACTGAGGGTTGTTTGGATAGCGGCGGTGAAGGTAGACATGTGGGTCTGGAAGGGTCGATGGTGTTGCGGTTGGCCCCGTCAGCCACGGAGGGAGACTGTAATGGCGACTGTGCTGGCGATATATCATCTCCATTCGGGAGATTTACCATCAGAGGTGGCAGGAGGGGTGTGGTTGCATTTGGTTCTCTTTCCATACTTTGTCGATTGGCCATATCAACGTCTATGGGTGCAATACCGGCCTCGTTGATCCGCTCCTCAAAGACAGCTCTTGCTGGGGAGGGGGAATGGTGACCTTGGCGGATGGATAGGGAGCTGACAGCCGGGCTCACCAACGTTGACGTCGCAGAATTTGCACGCGATCGTAGCGATTCGTCATATTTTTCCAAGACCGCCGCAGCGGTGTCCACCTTCTGTTTGTGTCTCCATTTCGACGACATGGAAGTAAATCGGTGACTCAGGCCAGCGATACCGCGAAAAGTTGTAGCTGTGCTGTTGCTATCTGACTTTCGCTTCTTGGGTGAACCTGGCTTTTCGACCACATCATCTGATAGGTCGTATTCGTAGGACTCTAGCACTACGGGATAGCCATCATCGGAGTGAACTTGGTTGAAGTCCGCTACAATTGCACCAGAGATGTTAGAAGAAACACAACGGTTGTTGTCTCCATTTTGCGAACAACAGCAAGGCTCACCAAAGTAAGGGCTTCCCACAACCAAGCTCGTTTCGCGCTCAAGTGGATCCTCTTTGACATCGGTCAGAGGCGTCTTCATAACGCTGTATCCCTCCGTGAGACTCCCCAAGCCGGGTGAAGAGGCTAACGAAGATGTCGAGCTGGGGAATCTGTTATGGGCTCTCGCGGAGAAGAGGGATACGACAGGCGAGCCCGGGTTGGATGACGCGATAGATTGAGGAGATTGAGGAGATTGAGGAGATTGGGGGGCGGGGTTGGAGGAGGGAAAGCTTTGGTTTGATTCCATGTTTCGTTCTGAGCTTTCGCGCCTGTTTGCTTCGAAAAGCTGAGACAGCAGATCCATGGC